CCCCCGCCCCGCCCCGCCGGCGCCGAACCTTCGAGGAGCGTCGCGAACGGGCCGCGGCACCAAGGTAGTGCACACGCCCCCTGGTGGCCGCTGCGGAGATCGCAGGCGAGAGCTGCGCTGGGAGCGCCGGCCCAACACAGCATACCCATTGCATAAGTGAGGAAACTGAGGCATGGGTTGGGACCTTGCAGACTGAATTAACTGCAAGATATGGTCGTTAAATTTCTACTTGGACACCTCTCTTAATGGAGAACTCACTACCTGAGAAAATTAGGGACAACTTGTTCGCGCTTTTGTTTTATTTTCGGTCCTGGGAATTGAACCCAGTGCCTACATTCTCAACCCTTTTCCTCTTTTTTATTTCTTTCTTTTTAGCCCTTTAAAATTTTTTATTTGGAGATAGGGTCTTGCTAAGACGATAAGTTGCTCTGATTGAGCTGAAACTTGCAAACCTCCTGCCTCTGCCTCCTGTAATGACTTGCTTTTATTAGTAGTGTCCATCTGGTCATTTGATGTGTATTTGTCAAGAGCTTGCAGTGTCACAAGTGCTGTGCTGGGTGGTGGGGACATAGTATGACTGAGATGCCCCCCCTCAGGGGAATGACTTTTTGTTTGCTTGTTTGTTTCCTTAAGGTACAGGGAACTGACATGTTGGGAGAGTACTCAACCACTACGCTACACCCCAACCCTTTTAACATTTTTATTTTGAGACTTGGTCCCACTAAATTGTCCAAGCTGGGCTTGAGTTTATGATCCTCCTGCCTCAGCCTCCTGAGCAGCTAGGATTACAGGCATGTGCCACCTTGCACGACGTGGCCAATGATCTAACAGGAGACATTGCGTAAATAAATATGATGAGTGCAGACACTGGTGCGCACTATAAATCAGACAAAGGAGGATACCGTTAGAATAAAAGGGAGAGGTGGGTGTGGTGGTGGACTCTTTAATGAAGTATGACAAGTTTAAACCCAGCCTGGACAATTTAGCGAGTTAGCAGGACCAAGTGTCAAAATAGAAACAAAATTTTAAAAAGGTTAGGGGAAAAAAAAAGGTTAGAAAAAAAAAAAGGCTTGGGATGTGGTTTAGTGCAAAAGCCCTGGGTTCAATCGCCAGTATCAACAAACCAGTCAGTCCGGGGCCGGGGATATAGCTCAGCGGCACAGGCACCTGCCTGGCAAGCGCAAGGTCCTGACTTCGATTCCCGGTGCCAAAAAAACAACAACAAAAAAACAAAAACAAAAACAAAAACAAAAAACAGCAGTCACTCCATGGGGATATTGTGGTAAGAGTGCCAGCGCCCGGAGGACACCAGTTAAGGACGGGAGGGGGGCGGGGGGCGCAGATGGTAGATGCCCTTAGCTTCTGCTGCATGGCTGTGCAGCCTCAGCTTGACTGCCTCCCGTGATGGGGAGCTCATTACCTCCTGGCATATAGACAGCACTCTATTAGCAGTCGTCCTACTGCTCACACTCTTGCTCACACAGGAGCTGCCGCTTACTGGGCACCGACTCAGAGCCTGGCAGTTGGCTAAATGACTCCGCAGCATGATCTCACCGACTGCTCACCCTAGCCAGCTTTTTTTTTTTTTTTGAAACACGGTCTCCTTATGTAGTTCAGACTGAACTCACTATGTAGCACAAGCCGGCCTCTATCCTCCTGCCTCAGCCTCCTGAGTGCGGGGATTACAGGCACGCGCCCCCACGCCTGGCTTCTGCCAGACTTCTGCCAATGACTTCTAGCATCTTTGGGAAAGAAATTTCACTAGTCATTCGATCACCTTAGGGTTCACCCCGCTTTCCCTCTCCAGGGAACGCCCATGACCCAGGTCCAGCCAATCAGAGCATTCCAGTGCTTCGCCCTCTAAGGACATTGATTGGTTGAAGGCGGGGCACGTGACCCTCTCAGGCAGTGATTTTCCCTGGAAGCTTTAGGTAAGACGCTTTTTCAGGCCTCTAAAGATGCCCAGGGCTGGGAAGTGAGACCAGCGCTTCGGAAGCCGCCTTCGCTATCTGCTCCGCCTCCCCGTTCAGGGCACTGGGAACGGGGAGCCCAGCCCTTCGTACATCCGGGGCAACGAAGGGCTGGAACTCAGTCGCCGCCCCATCTTTGCTGTCTCCGGGAACGCTGCACGTTGATCACAGAGAAATACGGACAGTGACTTCTTGTCGGTACCGCAGCGCCTGGATCGGGCTGTGACTGAAGCTGAATTTGCCACTTGACGCTTTCTCCCCCGCCCCCTCCCCTTTGCAGGGCTCTGGTCCTCTCTGCACAGTCGCTGCTGGCCGACGGGGTGGCTGGACCAAAGCATCACAGGCTACCGCCCGGCGTCTTGCTACACACACATGTAATCCTAGCGCCCTGGGAGGCTGAGGCAGAAGGATCGCCAGTTCCAGACCAGCTTGGACAACTTAGTGACTTAGCAAGATTCTGTCTCAAAATTCAAGAAAATAAAGTAAAAATTTAAGAAAGCGTCTGGGAATGTAGCTCTGTCCCAACGTGTGCCTCACACTGTCAGCTGAAGGGCTCCAAAGTCCGGGTGCCGGATCCAAAGCATTGTCCAAGGGCCTCACAGAGTGAGGCGCGGCGTCCCAGTGAGGGGCAGCGGGGGACTGACGTGAGGGTTCGGGAACGTGGCTGAGGACACCCAGTTCTCCCAGTGTTTCAGGCAAAAACCAAAGCACCGTTATCAGCTCCTGGGAAGTCCAGGCCCCGGCAATGCGGCAGTCCGTGGGCCACAGAGCAGGCCAGCACTCTGGCGTCCCGGTCAGGACACAGCAGGAGGAAGTCGGGGGCGCTCAAGCCAACCCAGGCTGCGTCCCCACAAGGTGAAGAAAGGGCGAGAGAGCGCCCGGGGCCCCTCTTATCAGGGAGGGGCTGCTCCCGTTCCTGGGGGCTCAGCCCTCAGCATGTAAGGACCCCCAGCCCCGCCTGATCTCTGTCACAGAGGAGGAGGAGGAGGAGGACACCGGCCTTGGTCCCCGAGGGGCAGCCACAGTCACGCTGCCGCACCTGTCACCCTCTGTCCCAGGGTTTCAGCCCGGCTGAGTGCGGATGGGACCGCGGCCTGGGCTCCTCCCGAGGCTCTCCTGGGTAGTCACCTCTGGGCCACCTTGCAGGACTTCACTTCAACAACTCCTGCCTCCTCTGCCACCTCCTGGCCCTGGATCCCAGCTTGGCGCTGTCCTGCTGTCACCTGGACCAGAGGCTGAGCGCCCCCTCCCTCCTCCTGTGTGCCGGCACTGTGCACCATCCTGGCTCTTAAGCCTTTCCTGTGCCCCCAGCCACCTGACCTTCTGGTGCCTCGGTCCTGCGCCCCTGTCCACAGGGATCTGCTAGCTGCAGCCGCCCTGTCAGGTCCCCTTCCTGCCTAGAGCCTGCTCTAGCTCCCTGCTGCCCCAGTCATCGACCTACAGGGCCCCGAGTCCCCAGAATGCTACGGCTCTGTTACAGTTGGGATCCAAAATATACCCAGCCAAGACTCCTTGTAGCCAGGTATGGTGACACTAGCTTGTAATCTCAGCACTCTGGGAGACTGAGGCAGGAGAATCACAAGGTCAAGCCCAGCCTGGGAATAAAGTGAGACTCTGTTTCACAATAAAAAATAAAAGGGGCTGAGGAGCCGGTGGTGGCTCACCCCTGTAATCCCAGCGCTCAGGAGGCTGAGGCAGGAGGATCATTGCAAGTTTGAGGCCAGCCTGGACTACAAAGTGAACTCAAGCCCAGCCTGAACTGCATAGTGAGACCCTGTCTCAAAAAGACAAAAAAAAAAAAAAAAAAAAAAAAGGATGAGGGGCTGAAGGTGGAGCTCAGAGCAAAGGCCCTGGGTTTGATTCTCAGTACCTGGAGCGGGGGGAGGCTCACTGTGTTGAAGTGTTGGTTGCTGAGGGGCTGAGGGGAAGTGGTTGGATGGAGAGGGCCAGTCTCTAAAATATAAAATACATAAAAAGGAAGCCCGTTGTGTGTGCCCCTCACTAGGCCCCCACAACTCCAGTCCCGCGTGCGGGTGCCTCTTCACGTTGGACTCCGTGCTCACCCCTTGGTGGATATGATGGCTTTGAGTTCCCCGACACCCAAGGGAACAGGAAGAAACACTTCCGGTGTCTGGAGGAACAGACTGAGGGCCAAGAGGGCAAGTGACTCTCTGAAGGAATTGTAGTTGGGAGGAGCCAGAGCCAGGAGGACTTCCTGGCAGCATGGCATGGCTAGGTGCCTGGCATATGTAGCTCAGCTTTATTTGTTCGTGTGTTTGTTTTGAGACAAGGCCTTGCTATGCAGTTCAGGCTGGCCTTGAACTCAGTGTGTAGCCCAGGCTGGCCTCAAACTCACAGCAATCCTCCTGCCTCAGCCTCCCGAGTGCTGGAATTATAGGCTTGCACCATGACGCCCATCTCCACAGCATCATTTGATGTGAGCACCAGTCGCTCTGCTGATTGTTCCAGAATGCCACAGTGCATGTGCGGATTCACAAGGGGGCCCGAGCACCTTCTGCCCTCCCAAGTGAAGAACACAAATTCCATGAAACAGCGATGTCCATGAGAAATAGAAGGTGGGCCACAAGGAAGTTTTATTTATTTATTCATCTTAGAACAGGGTCTCACTTTGTTGCCCAGGATGACCCTAAATTCCTGGGCTCAAGTGATCCTCCTGCTTCAGCCTACTGAATAGCTAAGATTACAGGTGTATATTACTAGACCTAGCTCTAATTGTTTATTTAAATCTAATTGTTTTCTAATTGCTTATTTGTTTCTAATTTTCTAGTTGTTTATTTAAACCTAATTATTTATGTACTTATGGGCTGGGGATATAGCTCAGTGGCAGAGCACCTGCCTGGCAAGCACAAGGTCCTGAGTTCGATTCCCAGTACCAAAAAAAAGAAAAATGAAAAAATATTTTTTTTTTGTCTTCCTGAGACAAGATCTCATTATGCAGTTCAGGCTGGCCTTGAGCTCACTTGCAGCCCAAGGTGGTCTCGAACTCACAATGATCCTCCTGCCTCAGCCTCACCAGTGCTGGGATTACAGGCGTGAGCCACCACACCTAGCTTTTTTTTTTGGTTTTTCTCCGGTACCGGGAACCGAACTCACGACCTTGTGCTTGTCAGGCAGGCGCTTTGCCGCTGAGCTAAATCCCCAGCCCCCTTTTTTGTCTTTTTGAGACAGGGTCTCACTACACAGTTTAGGCTGGCCTTGTGCTCACTTTGTAACCCAGGTTGGACATGAGCTGGCAGTGATCCTCCTGCCTCACCTTCCCAAGTGATATGATTATAGGTACGTGCCACCATGTCTGACTTTGTTATTTAGTTATTTGTTTGTTTGTTTCTGTATTTTTGTGTACTGAGGATGGAATCCAGGACCTTGGAGATGCTAGGTAAGTGGTCTACCTATGAACTATATTACCACTCTACACACGTAACCTGACAAATCACAAATGAAGCTTTTAATATTCTAGTACTTATACTAAAAAAAAAAAAAAATTAAAAAGAGGGCTAGCTGCGGCTCGGTGATAGAGCATTTGCCTACTATTTGGGAGGCTCTAGGTTAATCCCGAGCACCAAAAAAAGGAAAGAGATGGGGCTAGGGATGTAGCTCAGCAGCACAGCACCTGCCTGGCAAGCATGAGGTCCTGAGTTTGATTTCTGGTATCCCCCCCCCCAAAAAAGAAAGACGTGAAAAAAATTTGTTGACTGCCCAGTGTGCTGGCACAGGCCTGTAATCCTAGCACTTGGGAGGCTGAAGCAGGAGGATCTCAAATTCGAGCTCAGCTGGGTAGTTTAGGGAGACCCTTTCCTAAAATATAAATGAAAATAAAGGCTGGGGATCTAGCTCAGTGGTAGAGCACCCCTGAGTTCCTTCCCCAGTACTAAGGGGGAAAAAAAGAACACCAATAAGATTGACCCCAGAAGGGTTTTAGGAGCAAATAAATTAATGTATAGTAAATTCTCAGTATTTTAGGAATTGCTTCCAGGATGCCCTTCAACTTCCCAAAACCTTGG